AGATGACCTTGGGTTTGGTGATGACTTTTTAGATATGACACCAAAGACACAATCCTTGAAAGAACGGATTAATAATCTGGATTTCATCAAAATTAAAATTTTCTGCTCTATGAAAGATAATGTCAACAGAATGAAAAGACAAGCCACAGACTTGAAAAAAAAATATTTGCAAAAGACACATATGATAAAGGACTGTCATCTAAAACACACAAAGAACTCTTAAAACTCAACAATAAGAAAACAACTCAATTTAAAAAATGGGTCAAAGGCCTTAACAGACACCTCACCAAGGACGATATACAGATGGCAAAGAAGTATATGAAAAGGTGATCTACATCTATGTCCTCAGAGAAATACAAATTTAAAGAACAGTAAGTACTTCTACACAATTATTAAAATGGCTGACCTCCAGAACACTGCCAATCCCAAATGCTGTTAAGAATGTTGAACCACAGAAACCCTCATTCACTGATGGTGGGAATACAAAATGGTGCAGCCACCTTGGAGGACAGTTTGGCAGTTTCATACCAAATGAAACATATTCTTACCATATGATCCAGCAGTCACACTGCTCGGTAGTTACCCAAAGGAGTTGGAAACTTAAACTCACACAAAAACCTGCACCCAGATGTCTATGCAATTTTGTTCATAAATGCCAAAACTTGGAAGCAACCAAGGTGTCCTTCAGTAGATGAAGAGATGAACTGTAGTACATTCAGGCAATGGAATATTATTCAGCGACTTTAACAATGAATTATGAAGCCATGAAAAGACATGAAGGAAACTTAAAAGCATATTACTCAGTGAAAGAAACCTATCCAAAAAGGCTACATGCTGTATAAGTCCAACTAAATCACATTCTGGAAAAGCAAAACTATGGAGATGGTAAAAAGAACAGTGGGTGCCAGAGGTTGGGAGAGGCAGGGGTGAGTAGAAGGAGCACGGAGGATTTTAAGGCAATGAAGCTGCTCTCTGGGATACTGTAATGATGGTTACACATCAGCATACATTTGTCCAAACGCATAGAAGGTACAACAAGAGCAACCCAAGTGTAAACTATGGGCATTGGGTGATAACGATGTGTCAGTGCAGGTTCATCAGCTGCCCTCTGAATGCATACCCACTGATAGTGGGGGAGGTAATGTACATGTAGGCAGGGGTTATATGGGAGTGCTGTGAACCCGAACCTGCTCTAAAAAATATATGATTGAAATATGAAATGGTGGTTTAAGATGGTAAATTTTATGTTATATGTTTTACTACAATTAAAACACAACAGTCCTTTGGTTTCTGAGGGACTAATCAAACCACATCACTTTGAGACATTCAAAATTTGGCTTTCACGAGAAAAGGTACATTTGTGTTTGTGGAGGCACCTGTCTGGCCAAGTCAGTACAGCATGTTACTCTTAATCTCAGGGTTGTGTGTTTGAGCCCCATGTTGGGGGCAGAGTTTACTTTTAAAAAATTAATTAAAGGGATGCCTAGGTGGCTTAGATAGTTAAGCATCTGACTCTTGATTTCAGGCTAGGTCAGGATCTCATGGTTGATGGGTTTGAGCCCTGCATTGGGCTCCTCAATGACAGCACCGAGTCTGCTTGGGAATCTCTGTCTCCCTCTCTCTCTGCCCCTACCCTGTTTGCATGCACCCATGCTCTCTCTTGCTCTCTCTCTCAAAATTAATAAGTAAACATTAAAAAATTAAAAAACAAAAATAAATTTGTGTTTGCAAATAAATAAAACCACATATTCCCATAAAAACATCCTGATTAATTATATGCTAAATCACAAAGCTAAAATGGACTTTATTCGGTAGCATTATCAGCTTGTCTAGGACATGAAGGCCTGTTAATTTGTCCTGTGCATCTCCTGCCAGGCCCCACCGGATATGAGAAGCGTCTTTCTGTGCCCTCACCTGTCTGCTTGACCCACTGCATGATTAACGCACACCCCTCACACCGAGATGAGCTCTGTGAACTCCTTGCAGACACAGGGAGACCACAAGGAGACTTCCTGGGACGTATGGGTCTCAGCAAGTGAACTGAAACAGCTTGAAGCAGAGCTAGAGTCAGGAGTGAGTAATCAGGAGTCCGTGGGAGTACCGAGTCCCCACTGTTAGTGTAAGGAGACTGCGGATTCCCAGTTCCCTTGGCATTCTGCTTCCATAACTGTGCTGAAATCTGTCTGCTGATCCTCCCATTCTCTTTATAAGGATCAATTTCTACCTAAGTTCTTTACCATAATTTTGGAAGGGGCTCATGAGGGATATGAGATGAATACTTGTACTTACGACTCTTAAAACTCCAATTCTCTTTGCTACTGTGTATGTGTATGTATGTGTGCATCCGCGTGTGCACATGTTTCAGGATGAGAGAATTTAGCAGGCAAGCAAGTTGCTCTGGAAGCCACTGCAGGACCTTTGTGTTTCACAGGCAGGGGCCCCCCTCAGTGATTCAAGCGGACTGTCCATGAGGTGGTAGAGGCCAGCCTTTGGTGGGAAGACTCCTGGGATAGTGGAAGCTGGAGGAGGAAAGGCTATTGAGTTTGTGGAGAGGCAGACACCTGAGCCCCACTCAAGCACAGCTGAATCCAGCTTGGTCTATGTACAAAATCATGGCCAAATTTTGTTTATTTAAGCAAAGCAGGAATGAATTTGCTTTAAACCACTTAATATAAGTCACCACATTAACCTATGAAAGAAAGAATAATGGGGCCCCTGGGTGGCTCAGTAGGTTCAGCTCAGATCATGATCTCATGATTTGTAGGTTCGAGCCCTAAATTGGGCCCTGTGCTGACAGTGTGGAGACTGTTAAGGATTCTCTCCCTCCATCCCTTTCTGCCCTTCCTTCTCTCTCTCTTTCTCCAAAATGAGTCAACATAAAAAAACTGCAAGAAAAAATATTTTCTGAGCAGATGCAGAAAAAGTATTTAATAAATCAAAGCCCATTGGTGGCAAATTTTCTCTGTTTTTTAAAAATAGACATGCATATGTATGTAAGTTGACATTAATAGCATCCTGTCCACAACGCTGTTTGGGGCATCTGCCCTCCCCTCTTCCTCACCTTTGCCTGTATCAGGTCCCCCATCTCCACACCTCCCCTTCATCATTTTTCTCCAAAGTCACCCAATGCCATACACACTCCATGCACTGTGCTCAGAACACCTGCGCCCCAGCAGGCACTATTCATTGGCCTTAGTTTTGGAGCCATCAGGGACTCAGAGACTGAGGTATGAGCGAGAAATCTTGAGGGGTCTTTGTCTTCTGTGTCACAAAAATATGTCAAAAAGAAAGCAGAACAAAACCCTGCCCCCTTTCATCCTCGTCCTTATATCCAACTTCTCTTTCTACCAGATCCTTTCCATAAATATTTCAATATGTTCAAATTTGTTCCATCTTAGAAAAAAAATCTTCCCCCAAGCCTATCACTTTCTTCTCCTTTGTGGCACATTTTCCAGAAAGGGCTCTTTCTTCCTCTTCTCACTTGGGAAAGCACTCTGGTCCAGCCCCTGTCCCCAGCAATCTTCCAGTCTGTGGCTAACATCAATGATGGAGCCAGCAACTGCTGTGCAGCCCCTCCTTTAAACTGATCCTGAAGGACTTGGCCTGGCAGCTCTATCAAAACGCTCTTCTCCCCCATTCCCATGGCCTAGTTTTCCTTCCAGTTTCTTAATCTGCCTCTTTAACCTCATTTTAGCCTCTCCTCTATCCAAATCTGTTGGTGCTGCAGGCCCCTGGAGCTCCTCTTAGACTTCTTTCTTCTCTTTCACTCTCTCCTCTAGACTGTATCACCCATGTTATGCCTTCATTTACTACCACTGTGCTGATTAAGACCAAAATCTGCATCTGCAGACCAGTTCCTTCCTCAGGGTTCCAGTGATAGACGACACTCTCATATTAGGCTCTCTGATGAACCCTCGATCCCTTGGGACCACTGGGCTGGTTGCCCTTGAGGACACGGAGCCATCATCCAGTCGCAGCTTAGAAATGACCTTTTCCACCAATCATCCTGTTGATTTTACTTCCTAGATATTTCTCAAATGTGGTTTTTTTGCTCCATCTCCACTGTCACAGACTTTGAGTCTGGAGTTCTCCCTGGTCCAGTGAGAAAGTGGACACAGAATTGAATACGACAGAGGCTAATGTCCAGGAGACCAGAGTCCTGAGTAAGAGTCCTTGCTATGTATTTACTAGGATCAGAAGGCTTATAAACGTGATGGATGTGCAGAAAAAGACAATGAAGCAGTGATCATTAACTTGTGTGTGAGAGAAAGGTGGTTTCGAAGATATGCAGTGTTAGGAGTAGGCACCAGGAGCCGTGTCTGTTTATGTTAACTTGCTTAGGGGATAAGACAGAGCATGCTACCTCTGGGTCAACAAGGCACTTTTTTTTTTTTTTTTTTTTTTTTTTTTTTTTTTTTTTTTTTTTTTTTTTTTTTTTTTTTTTTTTTTTTTTTTTTTGCTAACTAGTTCTGGGCAACTTCACCCTGCTGTGGCAGTCTTTGGTCCTGTTTACCTGTTTACCTATTCTCCCAGGCAAGGCGGAGGCTTTCCTCCTGTGCAAGCAGCTTCCTGCTCTATCCTGCTCTACGATTTGTTCCACCCTGAGGGTGCTTTTGTCCTGTGGCCGCTTTCTGCTCTAAGTCTTGTTAACCCATTGGTGCAAGCTCAGGGAATTCCTAAACTTATTCCTCCACACTCCACAACAACAAATTTAGTTTTAAGCCATTATAATCTCTTTATCCTAGCCAGTCATCCCATGTCCATTCTTGTTCTTCTCAAATTCATTCCCTAAGCTTGAAAGAGTTGTCTTTTAATAATGCAAACCTATGCCTGTTGGACTTGAAATCCTTCAAGGACTTCCCCCAAACTCTTGGAATGACAACCATCGTCACAAGGTTGGCCTCCGAGGCCCCGCCTACTCTGTTTGCTGTCCGCTTCTCTGCCTGTCCCGTCTCATCACTGACCTTCCACCAGTTACTCACATGTGTGCTTTTACCTACATGACATATGCTGCTTCCTCTGCCCAGAATGTTCCTTTCTGCCTTTTCCCCCAGTGGCTGCAGCTCAGCATCCAGGGCATGTTCTAAGGCTACCTCCTCTGCTTCAAGTCCCATTTGTCCAAGTCCCCTTTGTCCAAGTTCCCAGGTGACAGGTTTTCAAAGTGTTCCCTTTTTTTTTTTTTAATATTTTTATTTCTAGGAGAGAGACACAGCGTGAGCAGGGAAGGGTCAGAGAGAGAGGAAGATACAGACTCTGAAATAGGCTCCAGGCTCCAAGCTGGAAGTCAGCACAGAGCCCGACGCGGGGCTCGAACCCACGAACTGCGAGATCATGACCTAAGCAAAAGTCGGACGCTAACTGACTAAGCCACTCAGGCGCCCCATAAGTGTTCTTCACTTCTTAACACTTACCGTTAATAATTTGTGCAATTATTTATCTATTTACTCTTCCTGCTAGACGGAAAGTTCCACGTCTGTGAGGTCTGTTCTTTTTAGTCATAGATGACATTTTGTCTTTCCTTGTGGGGACCCTGCACCTGAACCTGTATGTAGGAACAATCAATCACTTTGTGAATCTCAATGGAAGAAGGCAGGAGCGCAAAAGACCACCCACAGCTCCACTCGCTCACTTTCCCAGCCCTTCCTGTGGGTAGGACAGAAACAATCCCCCAGTTGGCATATTCTTAGGGGATTTTGGCTCAGGAACTGATGACGTGGGAAGAAAGAGGACACTCACTTCTCTCCTTCAGATGGAAGCAGTGGTGTGGTGGATCCTGGGGCAGCAGCAGATTCCATGAAGGCAGCAGCAGTGGCTACCAAATGACATCATGGGAATAGAACTTAAACAAACTGCCCCTTGTGTCCAGCGGTTGCCATCAGTGGGGGTGGCTCTCCAGTCTTCTCAATGCTTCTGTCACTTGTAATCAACACCATGTGCAGCAGAGTGAGACTACACCCGAATCTACTAGTCAGAGCTGACTAATACAACAGCTATAAATCTAGTGTTCCAGAAAAGTCCCTGGCATGTCTCACGTACTCAATGAATGTTTGCTGGTTTTAAAGAATGCATGGAACAGAAGGGTCATATGTGCCTCTGGGGACTGAGGATCCCTTATTCTTAAACAGAATAGTTTTTTTTAATGTTTATTTATTTTTGAGAGAGAGACAGAGCACCAGTGGGGGAGGGGGAGAGAGAGAGACATAGAAGCTGAAGCAGGCTCCAGGCTCTGAGCTGTTAGCATAGAGCAAGATGTGGGGCTTGAATTCACGAGCCACGAGATCATCACCTGAGACGAAGTCAGATTTTAACCAACTGAGCCACCCAAATGCCCCCAGAATAATTTTTTTAAGTCCTGTCCTTAGAGGTTTTTATATATATATTTAAATTTATTTATTTAGAGACAGAGAGAGTGAGAGAGCACGCAAGCAAGGCAGGGGCAGAGAGAGAGAGACACCCACAAGCAGGCACAGAGCCTTCCATGGGGCTTGACCTCATGAACCATGAGATCATGACCTGAGCTGAAACCAGAGTTGGATGCTTAACCGACTGAGCCAGCCAGGGACCCTGAAACAGATTAATTTTTAAAACCCCCATCCTCCTTACATTTAAATGGCAAAAATCACAAATATTAAACCAGCTTGGAAAACACTGTATTGGTTGATTATCAACAATTACTTAACGACTGCCCCCACTGCATTACCATATGAGTTCTTCGCCCATGGGTAAAAGGTGACATCCACCAAGGAACAGAGTTGGCCCAGCAGCCAGGGAGCGTGCATGATGGAGGGACAGTTCACTTGGGAGGTAAGTGGCACCTAGCTGTAGACCAAAACCCACAGGGATTCAGGAACTATTCTCTAAGAAAGAATGCAGAGCAGAGACCTGGTTCACTCGCTGAACCTAGATTTTCTCTTCTGTAACACCGAGAGCAACTACCTCAACTGGATTGTTGTGAGGTTTAAATGAAAGGATGTTAAGATCTCTGAAGTCCACGCCAGGCACTTAGCACTCCCGTGATATTTGCTTCCTCCTCCTCCTTCTCTCTCCCTTGCTCCTTGTTCCTCACCGCAAACAGCGATCTGGTTTAGTAAATCACATGGCACGTGTGGCAGCGTTTAAGAAACCGGTGACACTGATGGGTTGTCATGTTCTTCTCACCTAGAACACCATCCCCCAAAACACGGCTTCTTTGGCAGGAACATGAGAGCATTTATAAAAGCACAGACGTTATGAAAATGAGCTTTCAGAAATGGTTAAGATGTGTATGACTTTCCTTTTTCAGATTTGTCCATGCTGCTGAATATAGTGATGCCCAGATGGATGGTTTGAAGCTCAGAATCCACCTCTACACAAGGGTCACTGGTGTCACCACAAATCGACAAAGCATGCCATGCTGACGGCACTGCCCAATACTCGATCCCCTTCTGTGCTTTCCCATGTCTACTGGTAGAACCGTTGACAAGCATTTCCAAGTATATTAATTTCTGCAGAACTCTATAATGTTTTGGTTAGAAGCTGCGATTTTTCAGGATATAAATTCATACTTCAGAATTATTTTGAGAAAACTAAGACACCCCAGATGCTTGATCTAAAAAGAGACTGGGACCCTGGGAAGTGCTTTTGCTTGGAATCGGGATCCTGTCTCTGTCATTTATTAATGGTGGGATACAGGCTAATCACTTAACACCTCTGACCCCTGGTTCCTTTAGCAATAAAATTACCTGCAGGATTCTACTGACCATCAGCCACCACAATGCTCGGCAAAACAATAAACAAAAATTTAAAAAATCCTCAACACGGGAGTATTTCTCACAGGCAGTGGAGATAACTTGTAGGAAACCTGCCCCACCTTTCTCTGTAGGCTGAATTTTAGTCCAAACACCTCCAATGTCCAGCCATGTCCTTTCAAGCCATCTAATCCAATCCCACCCCATAAACAAAGTTACATGGCAAAAATGAGTCGGTCAATTCCATGTTTAACGTCATGCAAGCCCTGCAGTGCCCCAATCCCATTAGTAAAACAAATGGCCACACAGAGCTGCTTTTGTATGTGACAATTCTAATTCAAAACACACAGGATATGGAGCTAGGGTGAAGGAAGATTCTGGATTTAACCAGAATCTTGAGGAATCAATCAGTATGATTTGTGTCACTTCGGGAAATTTCAGGTTTCCAGGAGCTCTATTCTTTTCCTTAAGTGTTTCTTTTTTTTTTTTAATCGTTTATTTTTTTGGGGGGGGGGCTAGAGAGGAGTAGAGGGAGAGAGAGAGAGAAAGAATCCCAAGCAGACTCCACACTCAGCTCAATGCAGGGCTCAATCCCACAACCCACAATCGTGAGATCGTGGCCTGAGCCAAAATCAGGAGTCAGATGCTCAACCTGCTGAGCCACCCAGGTGGCCCCACTCCTTCAGTGTTTAAGCATTTTCTTATTCTGTCTCAAAAACGAAACCTCAAAACTCTGGTGCCATTCTATACAATTTAAGAGTTCAATCCTTCCTGATTCCTGGGGTTTTTCAAAATACACTATCTTGCTATTCAACTTCAGGTAAATTTAAAAAACTAGCCCTAGTTTGGCGCGCTCGCGCGCGTGTGTTTGGGTGTTGACAATAAAATTCCATAATGTTCAATGCTGTGAGCATGCTTCACACGACAAGCACCGTGTCAGTTCTGGGACGGTGGGAGACACACAGGATCCAGCGCTTGCAGAGAGGACCTCAGACTGTGAGGATGATAGACACGTGGAAAAGAATCATAATTCAGGGCAAAAGGGGGTACATGCCAGATGTTCTGGGAGATTATGGGAGAGGCACCTAAGCCAGCTGGGTGTGGGCGGGTGTGTGATGTTGTCAAGGTTTCCCAGAGGAAGTGAACTGTGAGCCAAGCGCTGAGATGTGGAGGATGAGGGGTGGGGGAAGGCCCTGGCAGGGGACAAATGCATTTACAAAGGCCATGTGTTAGATGAGCATGAAGATAAGTTCCTAAGTGGGGGAGGGCATGAGGAGGGCAGGGAGGGGAGGATGGAGGAGAGCAGGGCCTGATGAGGAAGGGCCTGGCGGCAGCTTTAGGAACTTTATCCTCAGGACAATGGGGAAGCATTTAATGGTTTCAAGGGACAGTGATCAGATCAGATTCGAATTTTAGAAGAGTTACTGTGGCTGCCGAGTGTACAGAGCCATAGAGCCCAGCTTGGAAACTCTCACGGTGACCCACCGAAGGTGGCGGGGGCCGGGATGAAGGCAGCGGAAGGTAGGAGGCAGCAGATACAGCCAAGAGATTTTGAAGATGGAATGAACAGTCCTGCTTACTGCATGCATGGTAGTGGGGGGTGGGGGGGCCTGGCAAGTTTCTGCTTTGGGTACCTGAAGGGATACTTGTGCTATTCACAGATGGATGACACAAGAAGAGGGGAGCATGGGAGGAAGCAGGGAGGAGAGATGCGGAAGACTAGTTCGGGATACGCTAAGCGGGAAGTGGTCATGTGTAAAGGGTAGTTGGACAGAAGGGTCTGGAGCCCAGCACACGCCTGCCTCCATTATAAGGTGGGCACCACGCCCACATCCTGTGGGTCAGCGATGACCACACTTCATGTGCATAAGAATCGCTTTTGACGGTTTAAAAAACCGTCGTTTGTTTCCTTTGATCAAATATACCCATAATTTTTCAGTCCTCATGCTGGGAGTGGGAAGTAGAAGGCGGGAGGTTGTTTAAAGAGAGTTTGAGAAAAATACATGGAGGCTGAGGAAATAAACCTTTCAGTTTTCCTTTCTTGAGCATATCAAAAAATGATACCAACTGCAGAGGAGGCGTATCTTTTACTAAGTGGTAACCAAATAATTTAAATATGATTTGTAGTCCTTCCCTCACCCAAAGTTTCCAACCCCATTCCACTTGGGCAAACTTCAAATTTGCATTTCAAAGTCTAAGAATTGATCAGCAGCTTAACCACCCACTAGCACTTATTCAAAACTCCCTGAAACACACCGAAATGCTCTTTCCAGTTATTTATAAAACTTGTTATTATCTATTAGCTTTTGATGAGCTTGTCTTCTCAGCTGCAGAAATAAAACCTTTGTGAAAACTGTTCTCCCTTGATTTGAATTCATAAACTGGCTAATTTCATGACCTTTATATTTGTATTTCTACCATTCTGAAGATCTAATAAATGAAACAGCGGTCATGGCAATTTTTACAAACTGTTCTCCCTGCTCTAAATAAAGATCCCCTAAATTTTATAATTAGTCTACAAAAGTTGGTTAATACTTTGAACTTCGACCCCTTGTGGAGCAGAGGTACAATAAATCATCCCAGGGCTAAAACACATTGAAGTAAAAATGTCACGAATGGGGCTCACTACTTTATTGAAGATTAAACATTTGTGATTTGGAATCTTCATCACCTAAACCTAGAATTTATTGCTTTTTCCCTGAATTGTGGTTATCTTGCTCCATTTACCAAGGGGCCTAAAGGAGACATTTGGAATAAACACACACATTCTTGGTCCACTACCAAATATAAAGTATCATATCTAAGATTCCAGGTCTATACCTAATTCAGCCATTCTCAATCCTGCTTTTTGGACTGAACTGTAATTTACTAATAGCAATGACAGAATTAAAAGGTCCCAAGAGATCATTTAGTCCAATCTAACATGGTTGAAGCTCAAAAGCATCGACCAAGCTGAAGAGGGGGAGCCTAACCTGGGTGGACCCAACTGATGTTTTGGTTATACCGGAGAGTAACGGCAGGAGCAACTATATGGGTTCAAGGACCCCAGCTTTAGCTCTGGTCTCCTTTCAGGTCAGGAGACATTGATGGAGAGCAGCCCCATCCCCGCTCAGCATCTACACCATGCTTGTCTTCATGGAGAGAACAGAGTCTGTCAGATGTGAATTTCCTCAACTTGTCACTCTTTTGCTCCTACCAGACCTCTCCTGA